CCTCCAATTCTCCTCCCCATCCCTCCAGGACGATGGGGGGGAAGAAGGAGCGGGGGAGTGAGCGAGTGGCTGCGTGGTTCTGAGTTACCGGCTGGGCTTAAACCGTGACAGAGATCTCTGTTCCTTTTTCCACAGTGACTGTAAGCCATTGGTAATGGTGCACTGGAAGCCTGCCAGTTAGGAGCTTTAAAACAGTCCTTCACACCTCTAGAAGCAGGGTTTTCTTCTTGTTATTGTTTCCAAACTGGTGGCTGATCATTATTTTCCTCCTGCTTTTCTGAAAGAAACCTCTTAAAAATGTGTATTTTTTATCTTCACTTGAAAAGAAAGTAAATTATTAACTTAAGATCAAAGAAGCAATTCAGCTTCTTTGGAGGTAAAGCCTAGAAGTTCCTCCTGAGGACCAAACATCTTCCCTGCATCAGAAAGCTGCCAGTTTGTACCAATTACTGTTTATGTGGTTATTTCCAAGGTAAACACCTACTGTTCAAAATGTAAAACCAACAGATTTGATCAACAGAGGTATTAAATGAAAACAGTACTTCCTGCATTGAGAACTGTTACAGATGTTTAATAACATATTAAGTATGTATGTAAGTACTAACACATGGTTCAGAGTTCATGTAGTACCACATCAATTTTATCTTAAGTGATAAAAGTGCCTTTATATATGTAATGTAAACTTTTAAACTTGCCCTACTTGTCAGTCATTTAGGAGACCTTTCAATGCTGTAAGACTTGAATAATCCTGTACAACTGTAATCCAAACACATTGTTCAATTTTACTTATTTACCTTACCTATTTTAGAAGGAAAGAGCGTTTCATCATCCAGCTGATCCTGGACCCAAGTCATCAGGTAATCAATGTACTTTGGTGCAGAGCACTTAATTGGTTTCTTTATGTTGGTTCCATCTGCCCAGTGGTACTCATATCTGGGTTGGGTCAACAACAGCAAGACATTTTTTAACACAAGTGAATCATGCACATCGAGCCTGGAAGGCTGCTTTTCCTGCCCCTCATTATCCCACACCCATTCCTTGAAACTAAGGTCCAAGTGCTCCCAAGAGATCTGCAGCTGCTCTGTGCCCCATCTCCCCACTGCAATCCTGCCTTAGCCAGATCCTCTTCCACAGTCTGTGAAGGCCTTCAAAAACTTTGTCCTTTACAGCACAACTCATTCACCCTTGGGTGCAAATCTCCTGCCAAAATGCACATGACAGCCTGAGGTCACACCTGCATCCCTGTACACCAAAAGGTGCTGTATAAGGAGGTTTCCAACTCCTGAATGGCCAACAGCTATTGACTTTTTTAAAGTTTTCCCCCCTCCAAGAGTCTGGAGAAGAGGAGGCTCAGGGTGTACGTTATCACTGTCTACAGCTACCTGAAAGAAGGTTGTAGTTTGGGGGTCGGTCTCTTCTCCCAAGTAGCAAGCGACAGGACAAGAGGTAACAGCCTCAAGCTGCGCCAGGGGAGGTTTAGACTGAATAGTAGGAAAAATTTCTTCACAGAGAGGGTGGTCAGGCATTGGAACAGGCTGCCAAGGGAAGTGGTGGAATCACCACCCCTGTAAGGGTTCAAAAACTGCGTAGATGAGGCTTTCAGTGGTATGTTTTAGTGGTGGTCTTGGCAGTCCTCGGGGAATGGTTGGACTTGATCTTCAAGGTCTTTTCCAACCTACTTGATTCTATGATTCTAAGAAAAAAGCACTACAAGCTGTTCAAGTGAAACATCCAGTAGTTACAAGAGTTTCTCACACACATAAAAGCTCAGCTCCAGGGCTCAAATTGGTGATTTCTAATGTGAAACTTCACCCACTCATCCCTAGCATTGAGCTTCTCTTCACCTCCACTGGCAGAGAAGAACTACAAAGTGAGTGGCAATGCCCAGCCAGACAGACACATTACACTCACAAAATATACCTAATTTCTTTATATTTCAAAATATTCTTACCGATTTTTGCATAACTAAAGGCCAAACTACATCAGCTCTTGCCAGAGATCCCAAATTATGGACTGTATTAGAGGCAGGGAAGAGATTCAGAGGTGGGTTAATAACTAGCAATACTTTTATACAACTGGAAGCTGTTTCAGCTAACAGGTAGAAAAAAGCTTCTAGTCTAACAGTCCTCCTTAGGAAAGGTTCATATCTGAAGGTTTTGTGCAGATTCTTACAAACCATACAGTGCAGAAGAATCTGTTTCCAGTTACACCACTGGCCCACTTGATAGTTGCAGGCTAGTAACTGACTTGTAGATTAATTCTTCCATTTGTAGGTAAGGTGATACCACACCTTTACAAACCACTGACACGACTCTGGAACAGTCAAACATGTGCTCTTTTTACCCTTTTCCATCCACAGAGCTAGTATGTTCACATCTTTAACGTAGCACTTTTACTGAGTAGATTCCAGTGTAGTTCATTTTATAGCTATCATTTTAACTTCACGAATTTAAAAAACCATGGGAAAATGTATTAAACACCATCCATTACATGCGCAACCAGACAGAAATAAATCCTCATGAAATCAGGATGGAAGAGATATTTTGGCTGTCTTGGAGAACACAACTGGCAAGTCCAGATACAGGAGAAGATGGCTAATTTAGCGACACATAGCTTAAAAAACCCAAACATGTTTAACACCGGCACTCTGACAAGTGAACTGAAGCGTTTCTTTCTGCATCTTGCTGAGTACAAATGCATGTATTTTCATATTCCTTGCCAATCTGCAACACCTGAGCAGTTCTCTCTCATAGAATCACGGAATGGTCAGAAGGGACTTTAAACATCATCTAGTTCAAAAAAAAAAAAAAAAAAAAAAAGAAAAACACAGGGAAAGATTTCCCCCACATTAGAATAATCTGAACATCTGAACTGCTACAGGAAATGAAGGGTAAAAATTCCATTTCTAGCTCAAGCTTGTGAGCAGACACCTACAGTTATGGTAATAGAAAGAAACTAACGAACTTTATCGCAATAGGCAGCTTCCCTACAGAAAATACATTTTTAGAAACCTCTAACAGCTCAGTAAGAGGTTCTTAAGGGCAAACAAAACACTGTATCAAGGATAGAGCAAAAAATACACAGTTCACTCCAGCAAGTGCAGGGGAAAAGCTAAGAATCCCCAATGACTCTGATGGAATTCTGTCATGCTAATAAACAAATTATTTGCTGTCTATAAACAGAAAACCCAACTGTGCTAATTCTTACACTAGAAAATATCCCTATGTACAAACCAGCACAGGACCAGCATCTCCACCACACAGCCCCAGTTTTGACATCCAGCTTTGCAAAATGCAGTAGCCACACCCCTCCTTTGGGCTCTTATTGAACACTTATAACTAGGGAGGAAAACAAAGAAAATCCCCATCACCCAATGCTGGTTAATAAACAAAGTACTTCTATGCAGGTTCTTATCATCATGCCTGTTGCACTGATGGTGATCCTGCAACTGACATAAGAATAGCACGCACCAAAACGGTTCCGAAATCCAGCTAGGTTTGTTTGGGTAAGAAATGGTTGGTCTTTACTGAAGTGAAAAGAATGGATCATTACCCTGAATAATCATGTTTTGGAACAAATTAAACCAATACTTTATTCAAATTGTTAGACAAGGAGCTGGACAGCAGGAGAGGGAGAGCTGTTCTTGATCTTTATGTCAATCCTGAACTAGCTCAATGTCCTGCCCCGCTGATAAAAGCTAAGTCAGCACTCCTTACACAGACAAGTCCCTCTTAAAGGGATTTGAACACAAAACACCAGCACCCGGCAATGGATACAGGAAACATTACACTTCTACTCTGTTACCCTCTCACTACAGACATCAGGTTTAACTTCTCCATAGACTGCTACAAGTTTGTCAGTTGTACCGTGAAAACTGTGACTGAGCCACAAGTCTGAACAGTTACCTCTGAATGCACCAGCACCTTACAACCCTTTCTTAAGGTATCAGCCATAAATACTTCTCCAGTGAAACACAAAAATCAGACTTTAAAGCCACAGAGCGCTTGCTGGTTTTGGTTCTCCCTGGCTACTCATGCTGTGGCTGCCTAACCTGTTTCAAACAACCTGATGTAAGTTGTTTCAGCTAACTCATACCCTTTTTCTGAAATAGGTAAAGATGGAGCCATGGATGTGAGCAGACAGCAACCTTCAGCCTAGAAGCACTAATGAGTACCTAAGGCTCAAAGCCTCTTCAATGAACACAGCTTGAGCCAGAAGAGAACAGGACACAGATTTAAGAACCAGAAGAAAAAACCCATAAATCTCAGTGTTTTCATGCTGACAGGTTCTCCAGCAGTACTTCCCTGACAACAAGGTTTTAAGCAAAAGCAAGCCACACTCACTCCAACTAAAGAGCAAGATCACCTAATAAAAATTTTGTCAGAATGCATATTCAAGCATCAAGCATCTCTTTTCTTCACTGCTTCTTAACTATTCGAGCAGGTCATATATTTCTGTCAATGGTTATCAGTCTCTTTGGAGAGAAAGTGTTTAGCCTGGCAACCAGGCAGCTAAACCTTTAATAATTAACCTCCATCCCCAAATAACTGCTTCTCAGTAGGCAAACAATAAAGCAAAGAAATATTTTCATGCTCTTATCTAATAAAGAGTCCACTCTCTGCATGCCAAAGCACAAAGCAGACAAAGGGCCATGGTATTGCACAAGTTCTTTTGCATACTCGTGAACTTGCACTCCTTTCGTACTTCACCCCTTGCCACGCTGCAGCAGCCGGTCTGCCTGCCCACACTGGTTTGGCATTTGGCATTGTCAAGTTTTAGTTCAGGATTGTAGTGCCAAAGCCTTTCCCGGTCCATCAAACTGCTTCCACCTCAAAGAGCTCCTGCCCTCTCCATACTGCCTTCCCAGCAGCAGCCTTGGTCCATCCTCAGCTCTCCACCAGCAATTCACACAATAACAAGAGGAAGAAGTGGAGGAGAGGACTTGGTTTCCTGTTAATTTAAAAAGAAGCAGCGCCCTCCCTTGCCACTCACTGAGAAATGCAGGTGTTTTCCTCTCTCTAAGCAGCTGCTGAGCAAGAAAAAACAGACATGTTAGATGTCTGTACAAAAACATAAGCAAGAATCAAAGAAGTGAAACCTCACTAAGGCACAGACTACTACAATCTGTAGCCAATTGATTTCTACAATACCTACTCAAACATCTAAAAGACAGATTTTGGTAAGCCCCAAGTGAATGTTTGACAATAAAAACTTCTGATCTTAAAGTCCTCATTAACATTTCAGAAAAAAAAAAAAAAAGTTTGATAATGAGCTTACTTCCCAGGACTAAGAAAAACAAACAAAAAAACCCTACCCTAAAAAAACCCACCTTTTCACTTCCCACTCCCTTAAAGGTTACAATTTCTCTCCCCTTCATGGTTAACAAGAATCATAGAATCACAGACTAGTTTGGTTTGGAAAGGACCTTAAGGTCATCCAGTTCCAACCCCCTGCCATGGGCAGGGACACCTTCCATGAGACCAGGTTGCTCCAAGCCCATGTGTCCAGCCTGGCCTTGAACACTGCCAGGGATGGGGCAGCCACAGCTTCTCTGGGCAACCTGTGCCAGCGCCTCAGCACCCTCACAGGGAAGAACTTTTTCCCTGTATCTAACCTAACGTCCTCTTTAAGTTTAAACCCATCACCCCATGTCCTATCACTGCAGTCCCTAATGAAGAGTCCCTCTCCAGCACTGTTGTAGGCCCCCTCCAGATACTGGAAGGCTGCTCTGAGGTCTCCATGCAGCTTCTCTTCTCCAGGCTGAAGAGCACCAACTTTCTCAGCCTGTCTTCATACAGGAGGTGCTCCAGCCCCCTGATCATCCTTGTGGCCTCCTCTGGACTTGCTCCAACAGTTTCATGTCCTTCTTACGCTGGGGACACCAGAACTGTATACAGCACTCCACGAGAGGACACCCTTTCCACCCACACAAGTTACCTTATCTCTGGCACTTGGCTGAACTAGTATCGAGTTCTCAAATGCAAAATCATCTAAAAAATTGCATTTTCTTAACAACATGTGAAAAAAGATCTTACTTTGGGCCAGCAGACATCACAGGGCAGCTCTCCTCCGTGCAGAAGTCCGTAATGGTTCCATACAGCATATTGATCTGATTGAAGAAGTCGACAGCTGTAAAAGCATTTAAACCATCAGTTAACACTGAACTGTAATAGCAACACAAGCTCCCTGCAGCCTTAACTGCACACACTGCTCAGAGGGTCCTGGAATGTTTTTTGTGAAAAAACTTCACTGGTATCACTTTCTAAGAAGTATTACAAAGAAGATGCAGAATGAAACCACCAATGTCCGTATTATAAAGAAGATGCAGAATGAAACCACCAATGTCCTACAATGGCCTCCAGCAACGACTATTCAATTTTTCACTGCTGAAAAATCTTCCTTTAAAAGAAGAAAAGGGAAAGAAAAAGCAGAGTTATTTTCTTTTCTGAAAGTTTGATGCAGTTTATTAGAATTCCAAATTCTACTGGCTAGTCTGGAATAAAACCGAGACTGTCAGTATAAAGTTTCCATCAAGAGAGAGCTGTTACGCACTACGTGACACTGACTTCCCTCAGGCTTTGTATTCCAAGAGAGTGTCTTCAAAGAACGTTTCATAGAATCACAGACTTATTTGGGTTGGAAGGAACCTTAAAGCTCATCCAGTTCCAACCCACTGCCATGGGCAGGGACACCCTCCACGAGACCAGGTTGCTCCAAGCCCCTGTGTCCAACCTGGCCTTGAACACTGCCAGGGATGGGGCAGCCACAGCTTCTCTGGGCAACCTGTGGCAGCGCCTCAGCACCCTCACAGGGAAGAACTTCTTCCTAATGTCTAATCTAAATCTATCCTCTTTTAGTTATGGTATGGTCAAATGTTGGGGGGCTTCTTGGGGGGGGGGGGTTACTGCTTCAGTTTTGTTACATGTTTGAGAAAGCAGTTCTCTTAGCCAAAACTTTGTTTTTAAATGGTCTACAGCTGAATTCTCAAATGACTAAAACTTATCATATCTAAATATTCCATAGTTCTTACTCCTTTAGAGAGGTGCTTGATTACTTGGTACTCTTGAAAGCAAGGCTCTTCTTCAGTAACCTAACAGCAGGTCCTGCTCTTCAGAACTATGGACACGAACCATTTATAAAATCCACTCTATCTCTCCTCAAAGAATGCCCCACCACCCCACCCCCCACCCCCATCTGTTGGGGAGCACAGCATGTTACCATAGCATCAATATATAAGTTTATTTTTCAAAAATGTTCTTCAGACAATGGAAATTGTAAACTCTGCTCTAGGATGAACCCACGTAATATAAGCATACAGGAACCCAAGACCTGTGGGACTAGCTTTGGTGTCCTTACTCATCCTTTCTGATGCATGGATGATACTCAGCAATCATACAAAAACCCAAATCGAGTGTTGTGGAGTTCCACTCCTTCTATTTAACCACAGTGTTTTGCAAATTCAACTGACACACCTTTACTCTGAAAGGACCATATATAACACAGATAAAGATTTAATGCCCCAGTGCCCAGTCCAGGCTACATCGCTTCTGCTACTGAGAGTATTGTACCTGCCTACCCAAATTTGTGTTCCTTGCTTAACTCTGTTATAGATATATACAGGTTTGCTGTAGTGAGATGGAAATTGGCATCCCAAATGTAAGCACTAGCAGATACCAGGTACTGTGAAAGGAAATGACGGCTGAAGGAAGGAGAGTGTTAAATACTGCAGCTCCTTAAACATCAAAGATTACATGAACATCATGGCAGCAAGTTACAGCTACTGCCCAGCAGATGCAGGATACGAGCTAAAACTATGTTATGCAACTTCCCAGGTATTAAAAAAGGGAAGCAAATAAAAACTGGTATGGCATGCTCCTAGCACAGCTCATCTCTACAACAAAATCTGGGTGGTTTTTCTCCCACCGGCACAGCAAAAGCAGAAAACAGCAAGACAACATTGGGAAAGGTAAATAGCAAAGTTATAGAGGCCCAGAAGGAATCCTACGGCTTGTTTGGGCAGAGGGAGGAGGCAGTTAACACCACCAAAGACAGGAAGAAGTGGTTATATACAGCCCTTGTTCCTTAAGTGTACAAAAGAGCTGTTAATTAATTTTCCATTCCCCGCTCCCAGTGGAAACCACAGCCCAATGTTTGCTTCAAGGCAAGCATGTTCCCAAAACCCCCAGAGACGTACACAAGATGACCGATTGATGCAAATGCCACACTCCAAGTCTCAAAAGGCCACGAGACACACCACCCATCCACCACAGCCAGCAGTGTGCAACCAGGAAAAACAAAGAACCCCCTTTCCAGCATGTACAGTGTTTCTGCCTGTTTTCATTTCCTCTTTTTACTCATTGTTCTGAAGTTTTGAGGGCTTAGACTATTTTTTCCAAGCGCTTTTCTGTTGGAAGAAGTGCACACTGCACGGTGTTCTATTATAAATATATGGACAGGATGTACTCAACGGAACTAATTTTCAGTATTTTCAAATCAAGGAGATTTCAAACTGATTATATACTTTTTACCTTTTTATTTTTAAAACTTATTTGAAAAATCTACATGTACACCAATTCACTGACAGAAGACATGAGTAAGAGCTGAGCAAGAAGCAGAGAGCAGAGCCATGCTTTCCTGTGCTGTCACTATTGTGAAAGTCAAACCCAAAAACATTAAGTCACACATTTTATTTCCTTATTAGATATCTCAAGCAACAGAAAGAGCTCACTGCTACCATTAACTGGTACTAGGTGTGGTAGAGGGATGCTGTAAATGAAGGGAGAATGTAACCAGTTAATCACTTGTAGACAAAAACAAAAACCAAACAAAACCCAACATTAGAACTCTACTCTGGTGCAAGGAGGCATGACCGAGGACCATTTCGTTACAGAATGCAGCTGTTACCCAAAGGCAGCTCCCACTCTTTTGTCACCCAGCTCATTTAGCAGTTAAGTCATTCGGGAAGGGAAAAATACCACTGCCACAGACAGAGAAAAGACAGGCAGGGAGTGAAAAAAGCACCGAACGGGAAGAACGCCAGCAATATCAGAAGCCTCTTTAGTAATGCTTACTCAGAAAAATATGATGGCTTTATTTTCTAGAGAGTTTTGCAATACCATATGAACAGACTTTTGTAAAGAATGGTGTCAGCAATTTCATCATTCCCTGGAAGCAGTGGCAAGTCATATACCAGAGCACTGTGTGGCTCATTCAGAACTGAAGGTTGAAACCAGTATGACAGTTTCACTTCCTAAACATGTCAAAGAGCAAGAGGAAACAGAACCACAATTAGAAGACGTTTCTCTTGAGCATAATTTATACTGAACTGCAGTGCACAATCAATACCATGCAATCACAGAAGCAGGCCAAGCCAAAGACCCAAAAGATAAGGAAATAACCAGAGAGGACACAGAGTCTGTGGCAGCCAGAACTCCACATAGGCTATGGAGCATGATAGAGCCTGGGTTAATCCACTCTTAAAGAGCTGAAAGCAGGCAGCAAATTCATGCAGCAGGGAGAAGGAGGAGGAGGAAACGTGGTCAGGCAATCAGAAAACACTAATGTGGGCCTCATTGTTTGGCCTGACCTAGCATGCCAGGCGAAACCATGTTTGTTACAACAAACAGCTTTAGAGGAAGCGAAAATAAGATCAGACACTTAGCAGAGGAAAGGCTCACAACTTGGTAGAAACACAAGGAAGGAACTAACATTAGGAAAATTGTAAAGATGGATCTCTGGGTTTGTTAAAGGCAAAAGGAAAGCCAGGCCATACACGTGACCGTAGTCTTTAGCATCATTTAGACCTGGCCTTTGCGCTTAACTAAATTATATGCTTAGCTCAGAGAGGGTTGACTATACTATTGGACAACAACCCCAGCTGGAGAAGTGCTCGTGCCGTATTAAGATGGCACTGACAGGCTACTTCCTAAAAACAGTGACATTTCTACTTCAGCACTTGTTTGTGATCAAGCGCTTAGACTTTAACCACTAAGAAAAAGAATTATTTTGTTAACAGGAACATATTTTAGACACAAGGAGATTAAGGGGGTTTTGTCTCTGGCAGACATCCTGCATCTGTCAGACATACACCTCTCCCAACCACAGCACACAGGATAGAAGAAGCCACCCTACTAGGAAGAAGTACAGAGTTGTCTTCCCACAAGTGTCTGCCCATATTCAACATCCCCCATTAAGAAAAAAAAAGTGAGCCAACTTACTGTTCACTGCAACCCACTCATTTAAGTCTTCACCCTCTGGAAGCATAACGGCCATCCGGAGATTACCACTTCCCAATGTAGCTTCTGCATGCTTCAGCAGCTCGTACTGGTGAGACCCCTCTGGAATATTCTTCTTTGGTTTGAAGGTTTTGGAAGAGCGACTACCACTGTGTTAGGAGAGGAGATATTTAGAGAACTCATGGAAAGGGAAGGAAAAAAGGAAGGAGCAAACAAGGCACACATAAGCACAGGATTAACATTAAACACTTTCCCAATCACGCATTTTCATGTGGAAAAAGGATATTTAACACAGACGGGGATGCAAAACTACAGGTGCTTTGACTTGTTTTAAACAGTTAAATGATTCTCCACTGCCCTGCCCTCTCACCTGCTCACTCTGCTGCTAAGCCAGCCAGACAAGTGAGAATGTTCAGACTCCCTTCCCTCTCTTGGCAAACTGGATCATGGGGAAGATGAGACCAGAAATACTTCATTCTCCAAATTTAGACAGCTGCTTATCAAGGATAGCAGCCCAGCCAAACAGAAACTTTATTTGCTCTGAACAGTCGGGAAGTTTATCCTGGTAAATTAAACATTTAACAGAAAATCCCATGTTCTTTTTCTAACATCCACCTTCATGAGACATGAAACGTCATCACACCTGCAAAAGTGTAGTAAGAAGGTAGAGGCCTGTTCAGAGCCCTGACTTCCCAAATGAGGTATGGTAAGTAATTACTATTAACTCCTCAAAACCAAGCTGCTAGTATTTAGGAGAGCATACTTTCTGCAGGCCTAGCTTATCCAGAATATTACCTTACTTACCAACATAAAGTAACTTTTCCACTACCTGGTATTGCTTATGAACTTAGTTTTTAAAACACAATTACTCAAAAATACATTAACACTTTAGCTGTTGCTGATTTCCACATTTCCCCTAAACTTTCCCTGCCATTTTCCCCTGGTTTCACAGTACACAGGCCTTTCAGCCCCCCAGCTAGGAAAGAGCCAAGGATGACAACTTTTGTAACTTTAATATAATAATTTTCTTGCCTGCAATTTTGTTTGGAAAACATGGACTGACTCAGAAAAACAGACATTTGAATTTTAAATGGTGGCAGCAAGCCTGGATGGTACATTATCCCCTAACATGCCAGAAACACATTGTGTATAACTACATATGTGCAAAAAAGTGTCAAATTGGCCAGTATTTGTGAGTGGTTTAGTGTATGAGCTGAGAAGATTTCAGTCAGAAAAGGAAAACTGAGCTCTGAATTCCAATGAAAGAAAATAAAAAGCTATGAAACCCAGACAGCAGAATTTTCATGACAAGTATTATCCAGTTCTCATTTCTTTATATAAAAGACTTAAGACAATTTTTCAACATCTCTCTACAGGACCAAACAGAAAATTTTATTAGTGAGGCATCAGGGTTCTCTCTCCAGCTCAATATTTAGATACTTAAAACACATGATGAACACATGAGGGTTGTACCTTCTCATTGGGCAATGCTAGCGTAGCTATGATGTCACACAGAAGCACTTCAAGAAACTTAATTCTTCATCACATTTCCCCCATCACACCACACTACAGCCATCAACAGAAAATTAATTACAATCTCTTGTTTCCAGAATCCTGGACACCAACAGCTCTAGCAGAGACACAATGGGTACCAAAGAACACAACAAAAATTGTTCTTTCCAAAATACACAGGTGATTGAGAACATCTCGTTTGCCAAGCATATGACAAAACTGCTCAACAGCTCATCAAGTTCAGTTTAGACCTTAACAAGAGCAATGAAAGAAGAAAACATACTGAAACTGGAGATATAATAATGAGCTTTGGCCAGGTAACAATACCTCTTGGCCAAGTAACAGCATATTTGTAGGTGCATCTCTGGGAATTGAAGAGATCCTACAGGTCTGTCTAGTTGAAGATTTACACGGTCCTGGTGCTACCCTGATTGCAGCAGCATCCTCCCTCCCCCTTCCAGCCTCCAGAGTTTCCTCCTGTTTTCTAACCTGATAAGGAAGCACCTGGCTGGACTAACAGGGATCATGGAATGATACACTTCAACAGGCCACATACATTCACAGAGACCCCAGAACAATACTAATGCAGTCAGCTACTAAATACAACTATAAGCCCAAAATAGGAAGAGGAAACATATGGCTCCCATATATATTCTGTTACAGCAGCCTTCTAACATGTACCTAGTCATTTGCATTTCACCCTATGTGAAGATACCAGATCCAAATCTTAAATAATTGCCTCCCAGTGGGAGTATGAAGCTTCTGTGGCTCAGGGAGTTCCCTTCCACCCCTCCAGCCACCTACATTTGCTGCCAGGCCAGGTTCAAACTAGCTCTAAAGGGAAAGCAATCAAAAAAGAAACCCCACCAAGAAAAAAAAAAAAAACCCTCCAGATCTTTCAACTGACTACTTAAGAGACACAAATTTTTCTCTTTGGGAACACAACGACTTCATAGCCACCATGCCAACACATATCTAATACAAATCTAAACATCTGGCAATTGCCTTAGTGTATGACCACACAGACAGGGTGACACAAGGTAATATTCGCAGCAACTGAAAAGCAAGAGAGACTGGTATTGTTATCTTTCCACGTGTATCAGTGTAGGCAGAAGAAAACCAGCACATGCTAAGCACAAGCACAGCACTCCCTACCTTGCTAACTAGACAACAGGGGTAACCAACTCCTAATACTTCCATGAAAAGCAAACCAAAGGTTTCCACAGACTTACCCCGCTCCAAAGCTCAAGACATTAATTCATCAGAAATGTAAGAGATTCTTCCTTCTGTGCTGCTTACACAGAACTCCCAATTCCTAAAACTTGAGTCCTCCTTTCACCATGTTTCAAAACTTAATGTGTATCAGCTTCTCTTCTGCAACACTATCATTATCATACAATGATCAAGAATGAAAAAATCCACTGCTGTTAACTGGTCTGGTGAAGTTGCCCTATGCAAAGTCTGCAAGTTCATTATACAAACTACTCCTGGGTGCGTGGAGCTCCCTGAGCTGATGAGGAAAGCTCTACCCTGACACAGGGAACACTTAACCACTTAATCTCTGCTACCCTCTTCCCAGAATCACGGAGTTTTCTTCCCATGACCCGGCAAAAGCTGTAACAGAATACACAATATTTGCTCCCATCAACCATTTTAAGTAAGCCATTTTATATCTGCCTCCCCTACTTTTCTGATTACTATGTCTCAAACCCAGCATGGCCACCCTAAGACAGCAGGAAATGGTCTCACGCAAAAGGCAGGCAGGCATCCAAAAGGAAAAGCAATTAGGATAAACGCAGGCTGCATTTATCATCGTGTGCTATGGAAATATCTGCAATTTTGGCAATAACTTATGAGAATTCCATGCATTTATGAAGTTCACCATATGTGAAGCTGGTTAACTGCATGCACCATCATACATTCCTTGATACAAACAAAAGCTCAGTGACTCTACAACCTAATACAGCTTCTCTAAGACAAAACCCTTACAGGACACATTTGCTCCTGGGAAGTCTACTTGTAAATGTTGCTGCAAACATTATTTCAACTACCTTACTAGTTCATAAACTCTCCTATTATTTAACCAAAACCCATCATCATTTATTAATGACTTAGCACCATCAGTTAACTAACCTTTCAAATGGTTACTTTACTAAGTAGTCCTGCTTCCTCCCAAAACCCTGCCCACAGCA